ACGTAGCGTAATTGTTTTCAATTTTTTATGTTGTTTTTCTCAGATTTTTTTCTTTTCCAGTTATGAATAAAGCTTTACTAAATATGATAAATTTGAATTATATTCTATCTGCCAAACATAACTGTAACTAAAAGAAGCTGACTATATTTGAAATCACATGTATATATTTAGTGGAAATCAGAGAGACTAGTTTTTATTTTTTGTCATATATTTTGTTGTCATGTCCAGGAGGTACTATGTGTATTAGTAAAAATGTGATCTGTAATTTTGTCAAAATTACCTCATTAGTACCTACATAGTGTGTTGACACATCTATTCATACCCCATTGGCTTATTTAACAAAGACCTACTGTAGTCTTATGGGATTCATTAGAATTTCAAAAACAGTCATACTTTGACCAAAGTGTAAAGTAATTAACATTTATTTTTAAGTTCAAAGAACAATTTTTTTTTTTTCTTTTTTTGAGACAGAGTCTCACTCTGTCACCCAGGCTAGAGTACAAAAGTACAGTCTTCTGATAACTTTTTGTCGCTGGTGAGGGAAGAGGCTCCCACCCAATTAAAAATACATTTTTCTGAGAACAACAATATCAACACAGGAACAATTCAGTGAATACAAATGCCTATTGCGTGCCAGGCACTCTACTAAGATGCAGCAACTAGTTTTCACAATCTGGCAGTAAAGGTGAACACGAATAAAAAAATTGTGCCAGCCAGGGGCAGTGGCTCACGCCTGTAATCCCAGCACTTTAGGAGGCCAAGACAGGCGAATCACCTCAGGTCACAACATGGTGAAACCCCGTCTCTACTAAAAATACGAAAATTAGCCAGGCTTGGTGGCAGGTCCCTATAATCCCAGCTACTTAGGAGGCTGAGGCAGGAGAATTGCTTGAACCCAGATGGCAGAGGTTGCGGTGAGCCGAGATTGCACTACACTCCAGCCTGGGCGACAGAATGAGACTCCATCTCAGAAAGAAAGAAAAAAAAATGTGCAGTGTGATGAGCTCTGAGAGTCTGTTAAAATTATACTGGAGACCAGAGGTGAGAGCAACTGGTTCCCAGTGTCATGCAGCATGAGTTACTGATGATGAATGGAATCAGCCTTGACAGTAGGGAGTCACTATAAGCTGACCCAAACCCTGCCATTCACTGATAATGAGATCTTGGGCAAATGGCTTAACCATTTCAAGCCCCAGTCACCTTTTCAGTCATAATTCCTACCTACTCTACTTGGGTATTGTGAGGATTCGATGATATAGAACATGTAATCCCAGCACTTTGGGAGGCCAAGGCGGGTGGATCAGAAATTTGAGACTAGCCTGGCCAATATGGTGAAACCTCCTCTCTACTAAAGATAGAAAAAATTAACCAGGCATAGTGGTGCACGCCTGTAATCCCAGCTACGCAGGAGGCAGAGGCAGGAGAATCACTTGAACACGGGAGGCGGAGGTTGCTGTGAATCAAGATCGCGCCATTGCACTCCAACCTGGGTGACAGGGCAAGACTCGTCTCAAAAAAACAAAAACAGAACAAAACACAAAAATAAAATACATAAAGTACATTGCCAACAGAACAGTTGATAAAAATTATCTTTGCTTTTCCTTAGTAGCGTAAATAATAAATTTAGAATACAAGTTTAATAGATTAAATCATGTCCTGTTTAGTATTTGCAACAATTTGGTCATACACTAAACTGAAATTTACTCTTGTAAATTTTTTTTTACAATTTTTATAGAGACAGGGTCTCACTTTGTTGGCCAGGCTGGTCTTGAACTCCTCTCCTCAAGCCACCCTCCCACCTCGGCCTCCCAGAGTGCTGAGATTACAAGCATGAGCCACCATGCTCAGCCTACTCTTGTGTTTTTATATGCTGGGGAGTTCTTCGATCATTTCATTTATTTTTCATGCAATTTTAGTATACACATCCTGGTGGTTTGTTTCATTTACATCATAAACCTATTTCATACAGCTATATAGCAGTCATCCTTGTTTTTCCAACTAACAATCTTCAGTTTAAAAGGCCATTCCTACCAAGGAAAAAGACACATTGTTATTTACTCTTGAAAGAACCTAGGAAAATAATTCCTGCTAATTCCAGCGTATTCAGCATCAGAAGCAGAAACCAGAAGTACCACATTTTACTACCTAATATAGGAATAGATATAATAGATATTAACTTTAGGCTCTAAAAAGCCATAATAAAATCTCTTTGACCACAGTGCTTCTCTGCAATTGAGTCCTTTCACCAACTCAAGCTGTGGGGTTTTTTTTTTTTCTCAAGTTACTAAATATGAATTGAAATCATGAATTATGGTCAGGATGCTTGACTTAGCCAACTCTTGAAGTCTCTTGTTCCCACCCTCACCCCACTCCCTTCCTGGGGGCTGGTTAACCAGTGTGGAAGATCAAACAGGATTGCTCCATTCAGCTGCTTGTGCCAAGAATGTATTGCTTTTAGAATGCCATCAAATGGCACTTGGGTCTAGCTGAGGACCGCAAGCAATTCTAATAAGCCTGGGCACAGGCTGGATTTAATTCTGGGTCCTCTCTGATATAGGGCTTGGCTCCAGATTTAAGGCCTGCCTTTTAGCACGGGGCTTGGGAACATCCGTGGAATAAGGAAGGTCCTTTGAGAAAACATATGAGAAATAAGTATTAATGTATATGAAAGATCACACACCAGAGTGGTCAGGTATTTTCTTCGTGAGCACAAGGCTATCATACTTGACTATAACATAAAAGCAATTTGTGAAGCAGATAATAATTTTGATTATACTTTATTCTTCTCTGAATATATACGTATTTGCATACGGATCTTAAGGTACTCTTCACAACAGACCTGGGTGTTTAGAAAAGATTCTTCTGATTACACCCGTTTTTAAAAATCCGCATATTCCATCAACGAAGTTACCAAACATCTATGCTAGATGGTAGAAGTTAGCAATAGAGAAATAAAGTTATATAAATTTGGTATATTTTTTCAATCCATTTTTTACACTTTAGCATTTGTAGATCTCTCTCTTGCACAGACACCAGCGTGCGCACACACCCACTATTTGACATAAGATTTTACATTATACGTACAGTTCTGAACATGGCTTTTTTTTCACTCAACAATGTTCTTTAATTCCAGCATTATTTACACATAGATGTGGGTGTTGGGGATTTATTGGTTTTAAAAAAATGTTATGTAGTATATTCCATCATATAAAACAGTCACACTTTACTTACTTTCATACTTATGGGCATTTAACTTGATTTCCATTTACAGTATTATGAATAACACTGCCATGAACATCCTTCACAGGGCCCTTTTCGGGAATGTGTCTCTAGAATAGACGCTTCACAGTGGGTCAGACAATGTAGGCATATTCCCTTTTACAGATGCTGTCAAGTTTTCCTTCAGAATGTCTGTGTTCATTCATTCTCCCACCATATGCAGCAATATTTGATGTTGTCAGAATTTTATTTTTTGCCAGCCTAATGGTTGCAAATTGTATTAGTCTGTTTTCACACTGCTACAAAGAACTACATGAGGCAGGGTAATTTGTAAAGAAAGGAGGTTTAATTGACTCACAGTTCCGCATGACTGGGGAGGCCTCGGGAAACTTAGAATCATGGTGGAAGGTGAAGGGAAAGCAAGGCACATCAAGGAAGGCACGTCTTACATGGCAGCGAGAGACAGAGAGAGAGGAAAGAACTCAGAGGAAGCCACACACTTTTAAACCATCAGATCTTGTGAGAACTCATTATCATGAAAACAGCATAGGGGAAACCGCCCCCATGATCCAATCACCTCCCACCAGGTCCCTTCCTTAACACGTGGGGATTACAATTCGAGATGAGATTTGGGTGGGGACGCTGAACTAAACCATGTCACAAATACTATCTCGTTTTGTGTCGAGACACTTTTAAGAGTCTCATCCTGCAATCATCATATATCATAGTATAATAACAGACTCCTAAAATCAGATCTGAATTTCCATAAAAGAAAAACGTAAAACCAAAAGCTTATGTTGTGTTACATTATTTTCAAATGTAAAAGAAACTATCATGTAAGATAAAAACGTTAAATTGACTCATTCTTTCAACATTTATTAAGCATTTTGTACTAGGCTGTAGGATTATGAAAATAAGCAGGTTATAGTTTTGGGCATCATAGAGCTCTCATTCCAGTGGAGGAAACAGGTGCTTAAACTAGTAGTTTCTGCAAATGCTGTAGAGTGAGTGTTCTAAGAACTATAAGAGGACAGGAAGGAGGATATAAGTCTCATTGTCTTAGTAATGCAGAATGAATATTAGAAAATCACCAAATTCAAAGGGTAGCAAATGCTGTCCTTTTATGTGTTTAAAACAGATTGTCACACATTTACTCTTCAGCCCCGCTCTGCCATAATGTAGTACATGACACAATCCCCCCAGGAGATACAGAGAGATTCACGAAAGAGATCTTGTCCCCCACTCCCCCTGTGAGGACACAGGTGACGGGTGCTGTGAATCTACAAACAGCAGCTGAAGTTGTCAGTCTATCCTCAGCAACTAACGGTTTTTCAGCACTTGGCATTTACAAAACACTAAGCTAGGTGTTGAGGGGGATACCGAGGTATGTATAACATGGTCTTGTTCAGTGGCAGTTCAGAATCTAGCTGGGGAGATAAGGCAGTTCATATTTAATGACATTGTAGATGCTCAGTCATAAGAAAACACCACCAAATTTGAATGATGCTTCCATATGGCCCACTCACAATGGAAAGAAAACTTTAATATTTAGAGAAATGTCTTAGAGGGAAACAGTGTATCCACGTCCAGGTACTGAGCTGTAGTTTAGAAGTGTGGATGAAATTGCATATATCAAACTTTTAATACACAGCCCTGTACTTAGTAGGCACTCTGTACACTTTTAACATTTTTTTTGAATTGACATAATATTGTTATTAATACAAATATATCAAGAAAAATTATTCTTTTTATTAGTTTTTAATTTTTGGCTTGTTTTTTAGGTCAAGAAGTGGTTTTCAAGTGCCTTGGGGAAGGAATTCTTGAAAAAGCCTTTCAGGGGTATAATGCGTGTATTTTTGCATATGGACAGACAGGTAAGAAGTTGCTTTTATAGTCCAGATGTGATAGATCGTGCCTGTAATCCCAGCACTTGGTGAGGCTGGGGTGGGAGGATTTCTTGAGCCCAGGAGTTTGAGACCAGCCTGGGCATCATAGTAAGACCCGTCTTTACAAAAACTAAAAACATTAGCCCAGCATGGTGGCACACCTTTAGCCCCAGGTTCTCGGGAGACTGAGGTGGAAGGATGGCTTGAGCCCAGGAGTTTGAGACTGTAGTGAGCCATGATCACACCACTGCACTCCAGCTTGAGCAACAGGGTTTGAGGCTAAGTTGGCCACTTTTCTGCTCTGTTACCTTGGCCAGTATATGGGGAAACCTTGTATGGCTGAAGCATTGCATTTTGCTTATTCTTTTACCTGTTCTCTTTTTGCTTGCTTCTTCTCCAGGTTCGGGAAAATCGTTTTCCATGATGGGCCATGCTGAGCAGCTGGGCCTTATTCCAAGGCTCTGCTGTGCTTTATTTAAAAGGATCTCTTTGGAGCAAAATGAGTCACAGACCTTTAAAGTCGAAGTGTCCTATATGGAAATTTATAATGAGAAAGTTCGGGATCTTTTAGACCCCAAAGGGTAAGTTAGTGGTCAAGATTAAGTGTGTTAATAGGGGGAGATAATTTTAAATGATTCTAAAGTTAAAATTGGAAGTGAATATACGTATTTAAGCTCTTGGTGACTACACTGGTTTTCATTCATTTACAGAGAAATCATCAGCTTCTCAAAGCCTGTTGGTATACCCAGTGTTTATCCTACATTAATGTATTAAGTTGCCTATGTATGCCCTTTGAAAAGATGTTGTTACTATTGGTATTATTTTTTTGCCACCATGAACTATTCATAAAAATTGAGTTAGGAATAACCATTAGTTCTTCCATTTACATTGGAAAGCGGCACTTCTGTGTTAAAGGTAAAAGGGTTGAAGGATTGAAACATCCCAGCCAAGGCAAGCAATTCCCTTCCCTGGCTGGGCGTTGGAATCATGTGGGGAACGTTTTAAGCATCCACTTGCCTGATTCCGACCCATAGAGACTAGATTCAGTAAACCTAGGGTGAAACCCAGGGATCTATATTTTTTTAATTAGGTGATTAAAAAATATATTTATTTGATTCATAGAGGCAGGGGGACCATTTACTTTTTTTCAATTAAAAAATTTGGAGCCGGGTACAGTGGCTTATGCCTGTAATCCCAGCACTTTGGGAGGCCAAGGTAGGCAGATCATCTGAGGTTAGGAGATTGAGACCAGTCTGACCAACAGAAACCGCATCTCTACTAAAAATACAAAAATTACCTGGGTGTGGTGATGGACGTCTGTAATCCCAGCTTCTTGGGAGGCTGAGGCGGGAGAATCACTTGAACCCAGGAGGTGGAGGTTGCAGTGAGTTGAGATCTTGCCACCGCACTCTAGCCTGGGGAACAGAGGGAGACTCCATCTCAAAAAAAATTTAAAAACAACTGTACTGATTTAAAAATAATATCTATTTATGGAAAATTTGAAAAAATAGGTAAAGTGTAAGAGGTAAAAATGACCTATAATCTCACCATTCAAAAATAATCACTAAGGCCAGGCATGGTGGCTCATGCCTGTAATCCCAACATTTTGGGAGGCCGAGGTGGGTGGATCACTTGAGGTCAGGAGTTCAAGACCAGCCTAGTCAACATGGTGAAACACTGTCTCTTCTAAAAGTACAAAAATTAGCCGGGCGTGGTGCTGGGCACCTGTAATCCCAGCTACTCAGGTGGCTGAGGCAGGAGAATTGCTTGAACCCAGGAGACAGAGGTTGCAGTGAGCCAAGATCGTACCACTGCATTCCAGCCTGGGCAATAGAATGAGACTGCATCTCAAAAAAAAAAAAAATATTAATAACCACTATTACTATTTTGGTGCATTTTGACCAAAATTATGAGTGACGAGGAAGTGACCTAATCAAAGAAAATGTTTATATTTACTCTTAAGAAGCTGTTAACTATTTAATGTATACAAAAGAACATTTATAATACCTGTAAGGCGTAAAGAGTAATAAAAACAACTGCCTATCTACATTGGCTTAATAAATGGAACATGACTTAGCCAAAAGTACTCTAGCTAAAATTAAATAAATAAAATGGAACATGACCAATAATTGTGAAGCTCACTATATGTTCCTCTTGGATCCATGTTCTATCCCTCCCCAAGGTAACTACTATTGTGAATTTTGTGTTTAGCATTCTCTTCCTCTTCTTTAGCATGTAGAAATAATTTTGCACAATTTTTAACTTTGTATGACATCATAATATGTGTTCTTTGGTGATTTTTCCTCCCACCATGATTCATTTATTCTTATATATGAAGTGCTAATGCATTTTTACTGTTGTCTAGCATTTCATGGCGTGATTATATCAATAATTCATCACTTTCTCCGTCTTTTGTGTGGTTCCTACTTTTATCAATACAGTGCTGTTCTGAAAACATTGTTTTGCAGGTCTCCTGGTATATAGCATGCAGGAGTTTCTACGTAACACATCTAGGGGTGGAATTGTAACTCACAAAACATTGAATCTCCAATTTTATTCAGTAGCACAAACTGTTACCCAAAGTGGTTGTAACAATTTCCACTCCCACCAGCAGTGTACAAGAATTTCCGATATTGGACACCATCACAGGCACTTGATACAATGCTGGGTTTGCTTTTTCTTGCTGCTGAATAGCATTATAGAATCTCTGGCAAGCAGAGTAAGCTGTGTACTGGATCGTGTGCATCTAAGTAGCTCATTGTCACATTGAATTCTTCATCTTTAAAATAAAAGTGGTAAAGCCTACTTTGTAGGGATGTTATGAAATTAAACGGCATAACTGAAAAGTGCTTCAGAGAACAATGCCAGGACTTTGGGATGCATTCAGTGATGCTTCTTAGCTGCTGCTTCCCATATATTGCTGATGCTAAGCAATGACTCTTAATTTGAAAGATGATTAATATGCGATGCCCTGAATAAGATGGCATACACGATATGGTCAGTATATACATAGCTTTGCTTTTAATCTCCATTGTCTTTTGATAAACTGTTCAAATGGGTTCCAAACCAAGTTTATCATTTAAAAATTCAAAAGAGCTTTAAAACTGTCATTAGCAGAACCAATTCTAAATATAGGACAACATCAGTAATTATAAACAAACTCTGTACTATAATCTCACTTTCTGTGTAAAAAAGTGTAAGCATAGAAGTAGCACAAACCAATGCAGACTTGAAGTAAACTTCAAACATTTTAATATTGTTTACTACTAATTCAAAAATTTTGGCCGGGCTGTAGTGGCTCACATCTGCAATCCCAGCATTTTGGGAGGCTGGGGGTGGAGGATTGCTTGAGCCTAGAAGTTTAGGACCAGCTTGGGCAGAATAGTGAAGCTCATATCTCTACAAAAAATATAAAAATTAGCCAGGCATAGTGGCATGGGCCTGTAGTCCCAGCTGCATGGTTGGCTAAGGTGGGAGAATCACCTGGGTGGGAGGTTGAGGCTATAGTAAGCCGGGGTCATACTACTGTACTCTAGCCTGGGCGACAGAGTGAGACCCTGTCTCAAAAACTAAATACAATTTTAAGACATTATCTACTGAGAAGATGCTTATTTATGAAATAGCCTAAAGGTTAATTTGATCTGGCATGTTTTTTGGTTCAGTTTTTCCCCTAACCCTCCCCAAAATGTAACTGACAGCCTGACCCAGTAAGGTTTGTGACTAGAGATAGAATGTTTAAAATAGTAACATACTTTAAATAGAAATCAGAGCATAAAACACATTTCTCATGTGAAACAT